TTCGGTTGCATTGATAAACTAACGAGCAAAGAGTCTTCTCCTAGTTTTCACTTCTCTTCTTTATCTTGTGGCAAACCACAACTGCATCGCTTCTTCGTCTCCCACTCGGCTAGAGGTTGATCAATGATTCTATGTTTTTCACTGCCAATAGGCTAAATATCCATCGATATTCTATCATTTGTTCCCACGCAGCTGAATTCGATTAAGCTTTCTATCTTTTCGGCTTTCTATTGTTGGCCAAGAATAAAAATCAAGCTTCTACTTATTTTGTGTCTTACCGAGTAGATCAATCTAATGGAATTTTCTAATCTAAATGGCAAAGTTATCGGTGGTATCGCGGCTCAAACATGAACATTTTGTGGAGTTGATGGGGTACTGCTTGGAAGCAAATAACCGCATTCTCATCTACGAGTTTGCAACCAAAGGTTCTTTACACGATGTATTACACGGTATGTAAATTCAACTCTTACTACTAATATTTTACTTCATGGTATCTATGTGATTTATATATAAATGTATCGAATCTTTAGGGAGAAAGGGTGTGCAAGGGGCTGAGCCAGGACCAGTTCTGAACTGGAACCAGAGAGTCAAGATCGCGTATGGAGCAGCCAAAGGGCTTGAGTTCCTTCACGAGAAGGTCCAACCACCAATAGTCCATAGGGACGTTAGGTCGAGCAATGTCTTGTTGTTTGATGACTTTGTGGCCAAAATGGCTGATTTCAACTTGACAAACGCATCCTCAGATACCGCAGCTAGGCTTCACTCTACTCGTGTTTTGGGAACGTTCGGTTATCACGCTCCAGAGTATTTTACCATAATCTCATCCATTTATCTCTTAATACCATTTTTATTTGCGTTTTAAAACAAATCGGATTGGTCTTGATAATGTAAGAGTGTTCTTGTGTTAGGTATGCTATGACTGGACAGATAACGCAGAAGAGTGATGTTTATAGTTTTGGTGTTGTGCTTTTGGAGCTCTTGACCGGAAGAAAACCCGTAGATCATACCATGCCTAAAGGCCAACAAAGTCTTGTTACTTGGGTACGTCTATAATATACTCACACAAATTAGAGTAAAATATGTTCGAAAGACTCCATATAAAGCTTCTTAACTTTGTATTTTCGTCTTGTTTTTTCAGGCAACTCCAAGACTTAGTGAAGACAAAGTTAAACAATGCATAGATCCTAAGCTTAACAATGACTTTCCTCCCAAAGCAGTCGCCAAGGTCCGTTCTTCATTTTTCTTTTCATATATCAGAGGATAATCTTGATATCATTTTTTAATGTAAGTTACGTTGATTATTTTTTAGACATAGAAACGTATTTGCATGTAGATCATCATAAAAGAATATTTGTTTGTAGCTTTTATAGTAGCCAAACGTTGTGTATCAAGTTTCTTGAAGTTTTTAACTTAAAATCAATTGGCAGTAAATTGTCCGTTTTACTTTTACGATTTAAGATTCATAACATTTTTTAATGCATTGAGAATCAGATATGTTTGAGTGCATGGTGCATTTAGATAAGTTTTGTTCTGTCTCACATTGAAAACTAGGGACATCAATTTCTAAGTTAATAACGAAACAAGGATCTTTTGGTTTTGTTTTGTATAACATGTTGAAAATTTTGTTTGTGGGTGGTCGGACAGTTGGCAGCCGTGGCGGCCTTATGTGTTCAGTACGAGGCAGATTTCCGACCCAACATGACCATTGTTGTCAAGGCACTTCAGCCTCTTCTCAACTCTAAACCGGCCGGTCCTGAGTCTACTTCCTAAATTTACCATTTCTCT